TATTTCAGTTACACATAGAAATGTCAATAGTCATTTTAAAAATAATCTTTGTGAAAAATCAACAGCGGACACGCATAACGCCCAACTCAAGGCCGGGGTGCGACATTCATTACTGAACAGACTAGATATGGCCGTTTTCACTAGACGGATTATTTGTGTGAGACGTTTGATGATTCGCGTCAGATAGGTAATACTTCTTAATCTGAAAATGGAATAGTTTTAATTTTGAATGAACAATCCGCATGACTTTATCCGTCAATTTCGACGGACAGTTTAAAGACGGGAGTATCCGTTCCAGATAGCCTGTGTACAGCCGCCCCCTCCCCTCAGAAAAAATCGGAGAAGGGGTGTCTTTGGGGAGGGCGCGACTGTACACAGGCTAGTCTCAGATGGACAATCCATTTCTAGCTCTAGCGTGAAAATGGCCAATAACCAAATTCCCGTGTCCAGTGTTTTTAATAGTGAGTTTACGCAACAGGACGGCATGAAGAAGAGGACGGCAAAACGCTCGTGTGTGACAAGCGTGACAGGACTATTTCTTACTTGTTTTGTCCTGATCTTCACTTAACATTAATGTTTACTGGTATTTTAAAAGAAGGTCTGTTTAAAGGAAAGTGGAGTTTGACGAAAACTTATTTCAAACAAAATTATTGTCACACTCGTCACACAAGGTTTGCCGTCTTCTTCCCTCTCCCGTCCTGTTGCGTAAGTTCACTAATGATAGCGAAGGACTGTACGGAACGACTGTCTGCCGTTGCCTTGTCCGTATACGCTTATGCCTCATTATCCCGCGCGGCTAATGCGTTTCGGGTCACGAGGGGCTAGCGAGTTCGCGACGGAAATGGCTTGACCGAGAATGCGTGGGAAGACGCCGTACAGGGACTAGGCATGGCAATGTCTACCGCAGCGTCAGAGAAAAACGGGGAAATGTTGTTTATCGGCAACGTGTTTTACAAACAGTGACATCTCTGCGTGTTGTTTCACTAGTGTTTCGAGGGCACGACCTCCCGAAAATCGCAAATATTAATCCCCAGCACGGAAGCCACACCGTTTTCGCTATGAAAAAAATTAGTTCCCCGAGAGAGTGCACGCGGGCGGAAATGGAACCTAGGTCTTGGTATAACGAACTATTTTATTTACCCCAGTACTGTAATCGTAAAATATATTTAAAAGTTTTTGCCAGTCCCTTGGCCCTTCGTTATGTCGAGGTTTCAATGAACCGAGCTAGAGGGTTAGGGGCTTCCCCTCCCCCCCCACAAAAAAAATGCCCAACTTCCCCCCCAAAAATATTTTTATCATTACAGTACGTATATAAGTAACTCGGAAAAATCATCCAGACCCGACGAGGTCAGTGCACATGAAGTAAGTATTCCCTGTCTAAGGATACAACATTTCTCAAAATTGTGTCTCAAAATGCACCAGATTACATCTCAATGCATATTCATTTCAACAAATTTCCGAGGGGGCATGCTCCCGGACCCCGCTAGAAGAACGCGGCCTTCGGCCACTCGGGACTTCTCCCCCAAACGATAAAGTCTAAGATAGAACCCTGAGGGTGGGCACCTTCCAGGATGGCCGCCTGTAATGCAAAGCGCTCGACCTCGAAAACGAAATGTAGGGTTTCGTCAAGTAAACTTCAACTCAACCCTTCAAAGTATAATTCCTTTGGATTGACAGAACTTCGCTGAATTCATCAGAAACTTTGCTGATGCAACGTGATTGAACCAGAAAAGTCAGATAAGGGGCTCTTGCATCCAGTGCAGGGATCCTTTACGTTGATCTTGCGCATTTGCTTCCCTGCTGCATGATGCATGTCGTCCGTCTTTAATAAGCAAACTAGCAGTACTAGCGTTCGCGGTCCCTGTTTCATTTAATTTTTGGGTTATCCGGGGTGAAAAAAAATTATTTTTTTTCTATATTTTGATATGTTATGGGGACATTAGGGTTTATACTTTTATTGTAAAGGATGTTTTGTTTCCTTTTTTTACGACAACAGAGTGTGGGGAATTAAACTATATTACTCCGGAGATTGGCCTTAAAACGAGGTTTATTGATATTCAGCTAAAGAAAATTTGCGTTAACTTTTCTGCGCTTAAACAGTTTTGTAAATAATGGCACCGCGTCTTACACGGTTGATATATAAAGTAACATCGCACTACTTTAACGATTAAGTCTCTCATTGACAGTCGGTTTTGCGATCTCGGCTCAACTGATATCAAAATGAAGTAAATATGTACTTTTCTCTGGAAAAGTGCTTTCAGGTGTACTAAAAACTCCGTGAGATCCACAGAGAAGCGTGTTTACTGTTAACCGGTTAACATTTTGCCTAACCTTTGTTTTGAATTTCTCTTAAGTATTACTGTTGCCCCAAGGGAAATAGAAAACTATGCCTGTGTATAATTTTGTGGGGTAAACAAGGAGCGTTTTTCATTTAAAAAACGTCCGGTTTGAATTTCGGAAACTTCCAGTACTTGACCGGTCATGACCAGTGGCATTTTCCAAAATTTCTGAAAAGAGGACAAACCTCGCGAGGCAAAACAAACATTTTAGAAAACGTTTTAAATTGCCGGAAGTTTGTAAGGGGGAACGATTGAGTGAACAAGGGGAACAAGGGAGACAAGGAGGAACGGCGGCAACAAGGGGTAACAATGGGGAACAAGGGGAAAGAGGGGCAACAAGGAGGACAAAGAGGAACAAAGGGAACAAGGGAAACAAGGAAAAACAAGGGGGAACAAGGGCAACAAGGGGGAACAAGGGCAACAAGGGGGAACAGGGGAAACAAGGGAGATCAAGGGGAACAAGGGTGGCAAGAAGAACATAGGGACAAAAGGGGGAACATGAAGGGAACAAGGGAGAACAAGGCGAACAAGGGGGAACAAGGCGAACAAGGGGGAACAAGGGGAACAAAGGGGAGCAAGGGGAACAAAGGGGAACAAGGAAGAACAAGAGGGAACAAGAATGGAACTAGCAGAACAAGGGGGAACAAATGGGGATAAGGAGGAACAAGGTGGAACAAGGGGAACAAGGTGGAACAAGGAGAACAAGAAGGAATAAGGGGGAACAAGGGGAACAAGGGGGAACAGGAGGGAACAAGGGGGAACAGGGGGAACAAAAGAGCCTTGATTTTGAGGTCATTTTGCGTCAAAGCTGTTTATTTTCGCAGAATCCTCTAGCCGGTTTTTTAAAAACGTTAGGGCCAAATGGACCTCATTTTTTCCGTGCAACAGTTTTTTTCTCCAAAGTAGCCATTATCAAAAGCCATTATGGCTCTTGCCATTATAAAAACTAAGAGAGCAACAATTGCTTTTTTGTCTTCTCCTCTCTCTTTCTTCTTTCCTTGTCCTTCGTTACTGTGATTTTGGACATTATTGGGCTTAAGAAAGCTGCCTTTTGACGCCTTTTCACTAAAATGACTGGACATTTCGTTACGTTGGTTTTCAAAAAATCGGCTAGATACATACAAACATATTTACATCCAAGATAGCTGGGGACTACATGTACACGTATTTTAGCTGCTAGCCTGCTACCAGGCTCCGCATCGGGGGAAAAAGGAAAAAAATCGGTGAGCGAAGCGAGTCGAGAGGTATCCTGGGGACGGAAAGGGTCCTTTCCCTCTCTAGGCACCGCTGGGCTCGCCTCGCTCGCCGATATTTTTCCTGTTTGAGCCCATATTTTGCCTTTAATCCCACTGCGGAGCATGGTCCCAGGCTAGTCACAGCTACAGTCAGGCTTCGCAGCAATATACATGTTCCTCGACAAAAAAATGTTCTTAAAAAATTTGGCTTAACCTCGGTTCATGTTAAGAAATCTTTCAGTCTTTCAGGAGGGGGGCAAAAATACAGACATTTGTTTGTCTAGAAATTTAATTTAGCACAGTTAAGGACAATCATTAATTCAATCCAGCCTAGTCCCAAGGCGTTCTCGGTTTGGTCAATCCTTACAATCCTGGACTCTGCCGTGAGCTTTGACGTCACCGAGAGAGACTGAATTTAATTATTCATATTTTCTGGCACTGTCCGTTAGATGACGTCATTTCGGTCAATCGTCCCCAAGTACAGGGGGTAAGGTAACTGAGCACGTTCAAAATTACACAGATCAAGCTGTTGTTCAAATTACACACGACGTGCGTCAATATGTTCACAGCAAAAGAGTGTTTTATTTTCTCCTTTTCTCTCTTATACAATAAGTGTTTACTGGATAAGTACGCTATTTAGCCTGCAAATGACTAGATTATGTTATTCAATTATATAATTTAATGCTAAATACATTTGACGCTTCCCCCTTCTTCTCTATTTGCTATACTTCAATTCAGAATAAAACAAAAGGCAGAATAGTTTATCAGCAACTTCGACTCCTTCCCAGAGCGCTTTTCCCTGACTTTGGAGGTGCAGGGAAAAGCGCGTTGGGGACGAGGTTGAGTTTATCAGGAGCCTCAGGATTTTAATCAGTAGTTAAGTGGAAACTCTATCGCATTCAAATTTATTTGATTCTTTTTGTTTATTTTTTTTTTGTACTGATTAGCTTTTCTGGCAATTAGAACTAAGCTGTTTTACCGGGCGTTACGGTAGAGTGAAGCTCGTTACTTTCGCTTTTTGAACTTTAGAAAAAAAAATATCGTTCGTAAAGTCTTCATTGTCTTAACTCATAATTTAAATTGAGACCAATTGCTACCAAATTAACACGACTAGTTTCTCCTCTATTAAGCCACACAAAGCAAGTACATTGCTCCCCAGTCTCCGACTCTCCCTCAACAAAAACTCCACGGCAATTCTTCACATGACAACAAGATACGTTTAGAACGTTAAAATCTCTACTTTAGACTACTAAATTTTGTTTTAAATAAATTCCTGCATGAAAAAAAATGCTTTCAGAGAAAGAGTGGCTTCTAAATCAACAAATTTATCTCATTTATCTCATTTTCGTTTCGTTTTGAAGAGCTCCGTCCAAATTGAAGCTTTGGTAGAAAGGAACACTCTCGAGCTACTAAATACCGTTTAATCTTATATTGAAAGAGGATCAAAGTTCTGAATCAAGAATCGCCAAATTTCCTTTGACCATGGCAAAATATCTGCTCTTGCCATGAAGTGCATTCCACGGTCAAACCAGTAGAGAGTCTTTGCTTCACCTGACTTCATAGCGTTGTAAGCGTTTTCCCCTTGTGTAAACTCTTTGCCAGTGTTATCCTGAATGTTAATCATACGTCTCATAAAGTAACTGCGGCACAAAGCAAACTCTATCACTCTGGTATCTCCTGGCCGTGGTTTCAAATCGTGGCTTACATTTCCATTCAAAAAAATAATAATATACCCGCAAGAGTAGAACCCTGATCCCCAAAAGGACCAATTATGAAAGCCTACTGGACGGGATGAATGAGGCTGTACGTCGTAAGTAAAGCTTAATTTACCACTCCCACCTTTCTCGCGGGAAACAATCTTCATGGGAAAGTCTGTCTCATTGACGTACTGAACCCAAAAGGGGGGGCCCAAGACATATTCCTTCATCCACCAAAAGCCATATCCAGGAGGCACGTGATGTCCTTGTAATCGCAACTTTACTGATTGGCCCGCTACTTTAGCTGCAGCAGATTCAACCGTTGCTGAATCAGGCATTGGCGGCAAGCTTAAGCTTCTTCTGACTGTTTCTACCAGCCCTTTACCTTCGATATTTCTGCTTAAAGCGACGATCTTTGTAAGTTTTCCTCCTTCATAGGGCATCCTTCCAAGAAATGTCAGATATCTTGCATCTGAGAAGAAGGTAAGTTTTTCTCGAGCATCATTCTGCTGACAGCTGATTCTTCGATCCACAACATCTTGTTCGTCTTTGTAATCCTGCCCCAAGGCTTCAAATGTTCCTTTAGCAATTATCAGAAGAGCCATGAAGCAGTTGTAAGCCTCACAGTAAGTCACCACAGCTGTCACAAAATCTGCCAAATCAGGATCTTTTGTGAGAGATCCTTTGTCATACTGAAATGGCAAGGGTGCTTCAAATCTGTTTGACAGCTTACCTAAGAACTGAATAAAGTCACTCCATAAGTTGGGATCGTCTAGCCTTTCTCCTGACCTCATCGTGCACAACTGTGTAACCTGGTCTGACAGGCGGCGTTTCAAACCATTGTATTTATGGTCTTGCAATTTTGTGTTGAAGTTTACAAGTTGCTCGTGTACAACTTTTGCGAGTCGATCCACCACACTCGCTTGCCCCGGTCTCTTATGAGCAAGAACAGCACTGATGATTACACAGACTGCCTTCAATGGAGGACCATGAGGTTCACCTGTTAACTCTGACATACTTGCTATTATCTCCAAAATGCCTTCAGCAATTTCCAGTTTCCCGCTACCTGTTTTGAACTTTTTCATGCCATTTATTGAGGCTTGGAGAGCTTTACCCACATTTTCAATGGGTATTTTCTCTGACTTTTCCTTGCTTTTCTTTTTCTGCTCAGTGACCAATGCATTGATCTCAGTCAACTTGGCTTCGCAAGAGGATTTCAGTGAGTCTCCCGAGGCAGAAACATGAGACAGACTCTTTCGCAAAGACTTGATCTGTTCCTCGAGATCACTAAAGAAAGTAGCGCATTTTTCTCCGCCAGACGTAGATGATTCCATTTCAATCTAAACCGAGAGAGAGAAGGACATCAATCCATGGTATATCTGCTTTATTCCAAATGATGTTTAATTCTCAATAATCCTCCAAAAACATTGAAAGGGTACCGATTTTAAGCTCTTACATGCGGCACCTGATATCGTGCAAGCTTTCATAGCCTGCTTCTCACTATGCTTTGATGCTGAGGACGTTTCACATTTTTGCTCACTCAAGGAAAGGAAGAAACGTTTTCCCAATCCAGCGGGTGAGAAAACAAGTATGTGTTTAGAGAGAACAAGTTTGAGAACGACTGTGCAAAATGGCACGTTTTGGCCCGAAACAGGGTAAGGATTCAGAGAACTTGGTGGTACACTTTTAAAAGCAAGAATTCCTGGGAATACAGTAGTAGTAATAGGGGCTCAAGAAGGTCCCGACCAATCACAGCGCAGCAAAATTTTTCTCGACCAATCAGAATCAAGCATACAGCCCATGTGACCAAAGTGACGTCAAAGCTCCCAAATATGGGCATAAAAATCACGTGACCCCACCCAAGAGGTGGAGCCGCATACTTGGCATAGTTTTGAAGGACCGCGTAGAACCTGGGTACGAATGGGACGCTCAAAAACAAAGCCCCAATCCCCTCGCATTCCCCGGAAGTCCATAAAAACACACTCTATTGAGGTCAACATCACTGCATGGGTTTTAATCAACGTACCGCGTAAACCCTTAGTTACATCCGGGACGTATGTGAGGTCCTAGTGACGTCACGCCCATTTTTTACAAATCTAATAGAAGATCCAATTCGTCCCCAATCCTCTCGTAGCCATAGGGATAGCTGGATGGAGTAGACACATCAATGACACGCTTATCAAACACCAATCCATACTGCTTCACGCGCGGAACCACTTGAATGTGTTTCTTTTCCAAATCCCGTGTGAAATGATAGGGGTTGACAATGTTCAAATTTCGGCGAGTGTCCTGAGGCGAGTTTAATTCCGAGAGAATGTTCTCTTTCATGGTATGAAAATTGAGAATGGCTGACCCCCGGACGTTCAACGTGAAACCGCGGACCTTACACACCACTTTACCTCCACGGGTCGTGTACCCATAATTCTTGGCGCCCCCCGAAACAAACTCGGTGATGACATCCCCGTCCAATTCATCCGTCATGTCCCCTAGAAAATCCCCAGTGGTAATGCTGGGTTGACCGGGACGCCACTTGTACACCACACTGTCGGTATCATAGTAGAGGACTTGCTGTTGCAGGGTGTCCAGGGACTCATAGAGTTTGAGCCGAGCATGGCACGTGGTGAACGCCGCCACAAAGATATTGGTTTTGGTGCCTTTGACAGCATTGTCTTCGACACTGGTGTAGACGGCTTCCAAAATGTCGTCGGTACAGAGGCGGAGCGTACTGATATCGAGGGCTGCATCGGAAACGAGGCTGAACAAATGGGCGGGGTTTTGAACGGTGACGGTGGTGGGTTTGTTGATCCGCTCGCCGAATTTGCCCCAGAAACTGTTCAGCATGAGTTTGGCGGTGGCCTTACGACCAGGGTTTTTGGCAATGCTGGCAATGTCCAGTCGGATCCCCTCCCGTTCCTGGTAGCGATGAAGGTACTCGCGTTTCTGCTCGAGGGTCTGACACCAGCTGGGCCACCCCGCGGATTCTTGCTTGAGTTTGAGCCAAGTGTTCACGTACTCAGCGAAAAGACCTGTTTGGCGTTGCTCGGGGGGAAAATGCCAGACTTCATGGATTTTGATCAGGGTGTACCCCTTTTCCACCGCTTTGACCAATTCGGGCGTGCACCAGGTCCCACGTAGTGTACGATCTGCATCCGAATGAGGGCAATACTGGGTTCGGGTCAACATGGGTTGGGCTTGTTCCTCTTGGACACAGGCACGGCAGAGAGGAAACGTGAGCTTTTGGCCACAGCGTACAGGCAAGACGGGGTGGAACAGACCAGCCGGGGGTAGAATATCCACCGTCGCCACACCAAAATAGGACGCCAGGGACTGGTCAGCGGGTTGGGTGATGATCTTGGGATGACCGATAGGGTAGGGACAGTTCTTATTCACCCATGGGTACAGAGAAGTCACATCCACATAGCGTATCTCTTCATTCTCCCCAGCCACGGCATGCAACGCCACGGCACCGGTGCGTCCCCCAAAAAAGGCGTCACGGGGTTCCAAGGGTGCGACCAGATCGAATGACGTCAGGAAACGTTGGACGGCTTCATCGGTGTCCACCAGTTTGTCCCATTCACACTCCCACATTTCAATCACCGTATAGCCGGCTCGGAGCAGGGCCATGCGTTTAGAGAGCGTGGCTTGATAGAGTTCCTCCACGGTTCGATCAGGCACTGCATAATGTTTGGCGTTTCTCATGGGATAACAAGTGGGACAACCGTGATACAAACACCCATGAAATTCATAGACGGTGCGGGTTAGAAGATCGTAGCCATCGACAAAATAACTGTTCACGAGGGTCCGGACAAACTGCTCGCCCCCATTCCGGACATGTCGAATACGATCGGCACTGGCTCCCTCTTTAGGAAGAAGGTGTTCTTGGTAATACAGCCATTGTAGGGCCTTGAGGGATTGATTGACTTGGGCGCCTCGCCAGCCCCTGAGCGGTTCGACAGCGATGGTGTCGGGGGTCAAATGGTGCTTGCGCCAATAGAGATTGCAGGCACTGGCGATGGTGATGCATTTGGCCATGGGATTGAAACCAGCCTGCTGTTCAAATTCTTGCTGAAAGGCTTCACACCCCGCTTTCAACAACGCCACATCCGATTTGCAGTACTCGATCATGTCTTGCCGGAAATCAAAACGCACGTTACGACGGACTTGCTCCGCATGCCAACGCGTCAGTTCGTCTTTCTTTTTGGCCATCATACCCTCGGGATCGTAAAATTCCAAATCAGGGATGCGGCCCACATACTGTTGATGATCCGGGGTATTAAACAAATGAGGAAAGAAGCCCTTCTTTAATTCGGTCAAATTGAAGGTGCTGGGAAACGAGGCCAATGGCATGGGCAGGAAACACAACGAGTCAATGAATTTGAGGGGTCCACTCCTGAAGGACAACACTTTAGCGCCCACGGTCAATTGATCCACCACCTCGCGTTGTTGCTGGTACAGTTCATGCAAAATAAACATACCATCAAAGCCTTTCAAATTGTGAAACACCACAAGAATCTCCCGTTCACTCTCGCTGTCTGGAATGTCCGTGAGATCATCCAAATCATGCAAAAATTGGAGGGCACAGTCTTCTCCGTCCAACACATGAATGGTCGTTTCTTCACTAGACGAATAACATAACAAATTGGCCACAAACACACCTTCCGCATTCTGCATGGCTTCAAAATCGGCGTAAACAAACAGGGGAGGGGGTGGCGCCACCATGCTACCTCCCCCCTCCTCTGTGGGTTCAGTCTCTTCCTCATTCTCGACCACGGGTTGAATGTAACACTTATGGTATTGGATGGACACCCATTCGTGACACACAGGACATTTGGCGTACCCACACTGGTGACGTTGGTTAGGGAGAACGTTGTACTGGGCCTGGCACTTGAGACAGGTTTTGATGGATTGACATTGCCGGCTTTCCACATGATGACGTTTGCATTGCTCACCGTAAAACTTGCGATGACAGAAGGGGCAATAGTCCGTAGGGCGGGTACCACGCACATACTCTGGACAGTCAAATCGACCACACGCTTTGCAGCGTCTTCCTTGACATCTGTGATGAGTCCGGTCGTTGGTGTTGAACCCCCGTTCACAGTCCAGGCAATAATACGAGCGGTTGACAAACGCCGGAAAGGACGTGCATCCATCAAAATGATCATCAGATTTCAATAAACGAATCGGATGAGGCGCGTCAGGGCCTTTGAAGATGAGAAAAAACGGTTTCATCCGGGTCATCACCAAGAGTTGATATTGAGGTCCTAACGCCTGTTGAAATTGACGCAGCTCGGGTAAACCACAGGGACCCTCAGCCACCCCTGCTTGCTGATGGAGGGCCTGGGCTTGACGTGACTGCACAGGACGTCCCCGTTTGAGATTGTCCCAGTCGCGAAACCCGTCCACGCCTTGATCTTTATGGCAGTGGGCACGCATGGTGACGATCGCGCGAGCACAGCATAGGGCATCTCTGTTTCGAATAGTGATAATACATTTTTTTTTCTTATTTTCTCGATCCAGGCATAGTCGACCAGGATTGCGTTCTTTATGTCGACCAGACCCTGGACCAGGCATGGAGACAAACACCACATCGACTTGGAACCCATGGTCGGGGTTGAAGGCTTCATTACTGTTCAACTTGCCGGCCAAGGTCGCTAACATTTCATCCAAACGGGCAGTGCGTTGTAAAAACTCCCCCACGGTAAAATTGGCGGTTTGGTAAGCATGGGTGAATCCATGCGCTGTGATAGCAAAATTCACAAAATGATGGGCAGGTCGCTGCTCACGGCCCAGTTCTGTTTCAATGGCTTGATGGAGTGCTTCGGTCAACGCCAACCCAATATTATCTCCAGGCACAGGATCCCGCAATTGCCGTAATTGCGCATTGAATTGCGCCCGTTCCACCACATCACGCCAGCGGCGTCGTCGACCGATAGGTTGCATAGTGAATTGAAAGAGAGGGCCACGGACAGCAGCCCCTCCCAACTGTTCCCACCGATCATAGGCGCGGTCCAATAGAGCATCCCCTTCGTCATCATCACTGAATGGATATGCCTCCGCCATGACAGCGGCAACAATTTGAATTTTCCCGCGCTGGACGTAGACTTTTATAGACCGTCTCACGTGATCTCGCCTGCGCTGGGATTGGTGGACCCAGCTCAGGTGAGAGTCAGGTGAGGGGGTTTGATGGACAGGAAGAAGATTGAGGGGGGTCCCCCCCATGGGTACAGACTTCTTCCATCGCCTCTAGGTCTGGACCGAGATCGGTGATTGGCCGATAGAACCTTAGATAAAGTCTGTCCATCAGAACAGACGTCAGTTGCGTTTGAGAAATGCC